TACACAGTGATTTCAACACAAGCAGGAACTATCCCGTATCTTAAAGGATCAGACATGGGGCGTGATCTTATACTAGAGTAATCTACTCACCTGGTTGTTCAGATTTACAACATTGTACCTAGGAAAGTCAGGTCACCGATTTTTGCGTCTGGCTTTAAATAGAAGCAGGAGCAGATCCACAAATAATAAGGCAAAAGAAAGAAGTAGCTTATAAAAAGAGGGAGGAAATACATTCTCTGGCTGAGAAATTCTTCAACTTTCAAAGCCACAGAAGAGATATTGTTAAAAGCACAGGTATTTTCCCTGATTTTTCCACCACTGTTGTCTGCCACTCCATTTAAGCCTCTCAACTTGAGTCAGGCAAAATATCTCAGATATTTCCAGCTTGTGAATTTACGAGAAGGAATTCACATATAGCAGCATGAAGTGCTGTGCCAACAGCTGATAGACAAGAACCCTAGAACTCTAGCGAAGTGGTGGATGTTGATCACTGCTGAACTTGTCAGGTCTGTTCACCAGCCTGGAGGGATACATTTTGAAAATGAGAAGAAACACCTGAGGAAAGGCCCCGGGTTAAACTGTCATTTGCACACACAACCTCCAGTCACCACTTCCTGCCCCTTTACAGATAGCAATCTGCTAATGCAGAAGTTGTTGCTCTTTCATCCTGTGTCAGAAAACATTCTCAAAGCTTACTCTGCTTATGGTAAGAATTAGCAGTCAAACAGGCATGGCATGTGCAGTCATGGAAAGGCCACAAGAATCAGCAGTCAAACCAGCATTTACCCAGAGGCTTGTTGAGGAACTCTTTCCTCAGGTTAACTGACTCTTTCCTCTGACAACCAAAGTAAAGAGCCTGGTCCTACACCAGGACAATCCCCCAATTTAAAGAGCTTTGCTGAACTGAGGTCTTGTGCATTTTGACCCACAGACACAATCCGCTGACTTCAGTGATGTTTAAGTTTGTGATGCAGAGCTTTCTGAATTGAGGCCTCTTCCCTTTTAACTTGAAAAGTAATTACCCTAAATATGAACTTTAACTACTAGATGCCCTTGATTTTATTTGGTTTCTTATAACTGCCAAACACGATGGGCACTGGTGGCTTCTAGTGGATCTAGGTATATTCTCCAGTTTGAACCTAGACATCCCCCAAAGAGACCTATGTTGCACAAGAATGGATTCTACTCTCTGCAAAGAGCACTGGCCAAACTCAACCAGTTCCACTGGCAAACACTCACTAGTATGCTTTCTTTTTTAATTACTTTTTTTTTTTTGCTGTGGCTTTATTCTTTACAGACTAGGGTATCTGGTTGTAATGGTTGTCAAGATAACCTTGAAAACAGAGCAACTGATGGAGTAACAACTGCTTGAGATGCAGTGTGAAAAGAGGTATTAGCTGCTCTGTTCAGATAGAAATGCTAACCCTGTTGACATTGTAAGTGCTGCTCACTAAAGCATGCAAGACAGAAGAACAAGCCTAATGTGAATATCTGGGCAGTCGACAGTGACAACTCATTTTGTGACACTGACCAGGCCTGGGAGTAAAGGCACTACTCAAGCTGAGAAGTGGCCACATTCACAAATTCCAGAAGAACCCAAGGAATAGACTCAAGAAGCTCAGTGTGCAACTGACCTATGCCAAACAGCAATCAGAGGCTACATTTGTTCTGAAACATAACTGCTGTTAGCAGCATTCTTATCAACGAAGCTTGGAAAAACACCAGCATGTCTTCCTGCTCCATTATAACCTCTCCTGCCAAGACCTCGAGACATAAAAGCATCAGCACACGCCTAGAACAATGTTTCTTTTTTTCAGACACGTATGTCTCTCCAAGACAAGGAGGTTAGTTTTATCCAACCTCAACATCTGTTCTTGAGAAAATGCTGAATTGAAGGTAGAACAAGGAGACAGTATCAATCACTCTGAAATAGCATATTTAAAATGCATTATTCTGGTCTTACGTTCCAGCCCAAAACTTCTGAACACAATGTAGTTTCTCAATAGCTATCCTGGCAGCTAAAATTTGAGCATGGACAAGAACCTAGAAAAGTATTTCTGAATAATGAAGGGCCTTTTCCTCCACCATGATTACTTTTCAAATTGCTTATTTTAAGCTAATAAAACTTCGGCATTTCTTCTGCAGATTTGTTCTAAGCCCTCTTTTGCTAGCTGTGCATCCATCTGACCCACCAGCTACAGAGCTAACAGTAGCCCACTTCAAGCTGAGCTTATAAATCCACTACGCTGCACACTAAAAATGTGTCATAGTTTCTTAACATTAGCTATATTGGTCTGTCTGCGCATTATTAGCATTCAGATACAGTAAGGACTGTATTAGGAGCTGATACATTAGGAAAACAGTACTGCAAATACAGGAAAACAATCAGGATCATATGTAGGTCCACTTTAAGAGCACATGAGATCATAAAAAAAATCTGTTTTGAAAAAACAGACCGTTGCTTTTAAAAACAGTAGTGACCAATATGAAATCACCACCTTTTGGTCTGTGGACAATCAACTCTTCCACAGATCAGAAATCATCAAGAAAAATGCCCTGCCTTCTCCTTTATTGTCTGTTTTGGAGACATAAATATTTAAAGAAAGTATAATCTTAACTTAATAAACCAAATGGTTGGTTTTATTTTTCCATCAGGAATTTGCATGTCAAAGAGCCAAACACAGTATTTGCCTCTGCCCTCCTATCTCATTCCAGCCTCAATTGCTTACTTAGAGCAATTCTTACTAAAACTTGAACTTTCTTCCCATTCTATCTCTACAAATGAGGTAGTTCAGGGTAAAATACAACAAACCAACCAGAAACTGGATGAGTTGGATGGGGCTTTGAGCAACTAGTCTAGTTGAAGGTGTTCCTGACCATAGCAGAGGGACTGGAACTAGATGATCTCTAAGGTCCCTTCCAACCCAAACCATTCTATGAAATTAAGTAACTACATATTCCTCAAATTCTTCTGTGGGACCTATGATGCCAATAGATTACCAAGCAGCTAGTATCTCTCTGTTCTCTGACTTACATTAAGAAGGATAATTTCACTCTTATTTGCTATTTCCTGCCAACCTCCACTTTCACTTCACCCAGTTGTATCTTATGCTTCTAGCTCAGAAACCTTTTAGGTCAAAGCACATCTAAAATATGTGTTGTCTTCTGTCTCAGGCTTATTACTTTGGTAACAAGAATAAATAACCAATAAAGATAGGGTGGGGGCAAAATTCTAAGAGATACTGAGAGCCAGTGATAGCGCATGCCTTGACACACATATGTGGGCACATCTCTAATTGGGAGGATGTGAACACTGTGCTGGTATTTGGCATGGTGTATGATGAACAACATAGTGCTGAAAGCTACAACCAGGAGTTCCCTCCAAAAAACCTCAGCTCCTAGCAAGGAACATGTGAGATGGAGGGCACCTACGAATACAGGACGCACCTAAGACATGTATATATTTCATAGGTTTAAAATACAAACCAAAAATAATCAACATCCCCAAGCAAACAGAAAATAAACAAAAACACAGAGTCCAAGAAGCCATTCTTAGTGGGAAAATTGTGTTCCTGGTCAGGAAAAGTAAAGAGGTTTTTCACTCACGTACAGATGGAGACAAAATGTATTTCTTATGTACAAACACTGATGAAGTGCTGAAGACTTTCTAGTTGCAAAAAAGAGATCCTTGTTAGAGAGGAATAATAATAATTCTGGTAGCTACATGAGATCCATCATCCAGTTACCAGTGGTAAACTACTTTTTAATCAAGTACACATACCTCATTAGCCTGGGAGTGACTACTTTCGACATACAAAAATAAAGTTGATACAGGTAATTTCAGAAGTTGTGTTCATCTCTGACCAGCAGCAAAGCTGCTTAAAAAAACTCAGCATGGGAAAAACCAAAAGCAAATGCACATCTTAACTGCAGCATGTGACTTTCTACTAGTGTGTTCAATAGAGGGAGCAGCAGAAGAAGCCATGAGTTCATTTCCATATTGCCTCATGAAACCGCAAAAGTAAGGCTAAGGAAACAATAAAACGTAAGTTCTTAAGAAGATTGTATTGTTTGTTAAACATAAAATAAAAAAAGAAAAAATTTAAACCACAAACTTGATTGAAAATAGAGGAAAAAAATCAGAGGTACAAATCTGGCTAAAGATCCTTTCTGTCCAGCTAGCTACCATACTGTGAAAACCACCATATTCTAATCTTAATCATATTCTAATCTTAAAATACTAAACGTAACAGAAAAACACAGGAAGGCATTCTTTCATAAAGATACCTTAATTATAAAATCATCCAAAGGTTTATGAAGTCTGAAAGTTATGCTCTGTGACAGCATATTTTGGTTATCATATTTGGCGTTCTTATTGCTTGTTTGCAAATATGTTTTAAAACACGCCTATCCCCTCACTCTTACTGTCCAGTTTTACCCAAATTTTAGTCTTAAGTGAGTTAAAAGCATGGAAACTAAGAAACTGATCTGCAGTGACAGGATAAGGATCAGAAGTCTTAGTTTCCAAATATAGATGTCCTTGTTTCATACCAAAAAAAGCAAAGCCAAAAGGAGGGCCTAAATCACTGTGAAAGATATAAACCTCCTTATTCAACACAGAATTCGTAAGAGTTCTTCAGAACATTTCTAAAATGATGGAAAAGGTTAGAAAGCAATAAGCACTTTTTCCAAGAAGAAAAATTTCAAAAAAATCCACAAGAAACTAACCCATTAATATTGGCTTAAAATTACTTACAAAAGTAATAGGTTGTCACCGAATTTTGGGATACAGTATTAGGTTTGGTTCCATACATCTAAAGGGACTCCAGCTCCCATGTTCATCCCACAGAGATTAATTAAACTTCAAATAAAATTTAAACTCAAGGTAGAAAGGTGACTCGAGAGGTTTCCTGTCATGTTCTATTTAACAGAACACTCTAGCTGGCAAAGACCTTTCTTTACTTGATCATTACTGCCTCACCTTCGACAGAATGAGAGGTATCCAGTTTCATGACATATCGAAGCAACATCTCTATGCAGTATTGTCCACAAAGTCTTAAGATAACAGCATGCTATGAAGAGGAAGGCAACTACTCCCATTCCTAGAGGTACAGAAAAATACTTCATCATAAAAACATGCCAAGCCAGAACAGGTCTTTCCACATCAACAATGAAATATTCACTTTAAAAATACTAATTTTGTTAGAAAACAATTACAAAAAGAGTATTTTCACTGAGGTTCCCTGCCTCATAATGAATATCAACCCACTGCAATACTAATCTGGAAAGAAAATACCTATAAAAGGTTACATCTGCACCTCTGAAAAGGACTGAAAGGAGATCAAGACCTGCTTGCTGGTAAAACACAGCACTGTGCAGTCCATAAGAAGCAACAGTATTAGAAAAAAATCCATAACTATTTAATCACCTTGGTTTTGACACAAAAGCTTTCTTCTCTCTACTTGTCCCACACTGAATTTCTGTAAAACCAGTAGAAATTTATAAAAAAATTCATCTTTTTTTTTGCACTGGTTGCTATGTCTGTGCTTTCCCCCCAGTTTTACAGGAAAACCAAACAGGCTACAAGGATAGCATATTTTGAAGGGCCAACAAACTTTTTTATATTTCCTAAATCAGCATATCAATTACATAAATTAGTGATACATAGTGCCAGCTGACTAAAAAAAAGCACAAATATATTTCTAGACCACAAACATTTCTCTCAGGTACAATCTCACTACTACTATGAGTTAAAAAACTGTGCCTTCCTCCTTGTAAGGCCTGTAATTAGACACACTTTACTCCATTCTTTTGTCATTATGTTTTAGACTGCTCAGTGATTTTGTGCTCTCATGTTATCTTTTTCTCATTTTCTCAGAAAAAAAAAGTGCAACTTATTCAGCTACTTAGGAAACAATACACTTATTAGAATTTTTTAAAGTAATATTTTCACTATTTTCCTCAGGAATACTCTTAGAAAAGTATGTCAATGAACAATATTCTGAAACTTTTATCTCCCTGAAAAATGGGAATAATAGTAGCCAGTAGGAAAAAAAGATTTGTGAGCTGAAAGGCTCACATCTTCTCACTATCTAGGGGACTACAGTGGAGCATTCCTTTGGAGATGTGAACACCTCACCTCACACAAGTGGGAAGGAAAAACACCAACAGATTAAGAAAGAAGAGAATTCAAGCCAGGATGGGACAGATGGATATAGGGAGAGGTTTTGGGATTCATAAGATAAAACAGCTCTTTGCCTTGAGAGCTCCCTCTGCCTGTCAGAGAATACCCCACCACCTACTAAAGTCAATAATCTTGGTTCCACAACAGTCTTCTCTTGCCTGATACCTCAGGTTAGTCACCAGAGGACAGCTTATGGGTTGATACTCAAAGACCACCTGTGGCTAATTCACATACTAGATTCAATGAAGATAATTGCATCAAAGAAGGGTCCATTTGGTATTAGTGAAGATGCTCTTTGGAGTAAAATACTTCTCATCGTTCAGCTACACACCACTTTCACCAAGTAATTATCTAAAAGGGAGAGAGTGGCAAGGAGGGTTTGATAAGTCATCCTCAACTTTCTTAAGCAAAAGAGGTGACAGAACAACTTGCCTTTCCAGCTGTCTTGACTGATAGGAACTTGACTGAAACCTTAGAGTTTACTTGGTGAACTTACTGGCCAACTATCAGAAAGTTTAGCAGGCTGAGTTAAAACAATATGACCTAAAAAGGTGGCCTCCCATTTCGTGCAAGTAAATGGATTTTAAAGATTTCTGTTCAAATGGGGCTATTCCAGGGGATGCCTTTGCAGAGCATATGATACTCCCTATGACATTTATAATGATACTTTTTGGATAGAAAACATTACATTTCAGAACAGCTGATCTTGTTTTGTTTCGGACTTTTTAATATGGTAAGGCAGACTTTGAATAAGGGACTGTTTTAATCCCTTTCACTTTAGTCCCTCTGACACAGGCTCTCACTGACATTTCCTTGAGCTTCGTTTATAGCACAATCAAAATTAATCATCTGTTGGATGGGTTTTGCCTTTTTGTTAGTCTCTGGATCACAGACTGATTTTTCAGAAATGGAAAGTAAAACTATGAATGCTTAAGAAATCAATAACGCTAAAGTTCTACATTTAACAGAACAGTCAGAAATGTAAGTTTTCTTTTTTAAGCATCTTAGTTCCACATCACAACACCTTGTCTACACAGTCTATCCAGCTTCAGCACCTCATATAGCACAATTAAAGCTAGCTCTGGAGCATTTAATGGGGAGGGTGGCAGAAAGTAATTCTGCCATTAAAAATTTTTCATGGAATGTGATAAATAAGAAATATTTCTTATTTTGTGACCTTTCTACACAAAAACATACTGTAATCGCTTGAAAAAAAGGTGCACTTGATTAATGGCAACATGCTAGTTTCAGTCCTCAAACAGAACTAAAAACCCTTATGTACACTTCTTCCTCACATGCTGGTTTTTAAAATCCGATTATAAACACCTAAACACACAGCTTCTCTGTGCTGACAGCTGCAGGAAGTATTTGGTTAGTTGCTTTCACACCAGGACTGGACTGCCCCAACAGGCTGAGCACTGCATTGGTGTCACTGTCAAATAAATTATTTGCAACCAAATGGTCAGTAGATTATCAAAATGAGCACAGATCTGTACAAAAAGAGTGAACAGATATGCTTAACCTCCAAGAAAGCAGACTACCCTATTACAGTGATATAAAGGCTACATCTCTTATTTACAATGCTGAACCTGGGGAAGTGTGAAGCTCTCATTACAGCCACTAAGTTATACCTGTAGTGGCACAGACACGTTTGAAGTCTTTGTACAGAAAACTGGGAGCATAGGCACACACTATTCGTGTAACTTCCTCCTTCAAGACAGGGATCTGTTCTTGCTCTTGATTTAGTTTTTTACATATCTGAACAAGAATAAAGTTTTACATGTCTATAGGGCCTTTCAGTCGAAGATCTCAAAGGACTATTACATATGTCCCAACCCCTCCCTTTGTGAGGTAGGTATTATTCCTATTATTTACAGATGGGGAAATTCAGGCACAGAGGTTACATTATTTGCCTAGGGTCACACAGTGAATCAGTGACAAAATAAAACAGAATCCAGATGTTCTGATTCCTGTTTGCACAATCCAACTACTAACAAGCCTCATTTTAAAATAGCCTTAAACAAGTACCAGTGTGCATAAGAACAGTCTTGGGTTTCATGGGTCACTCCTAAAAAGTGTAAGAAAGGACAAAAACCAGGAAGATAAATTTGGGAACATGTAATTTACTTCTGGAAGTCAACACAGCTTTAAAGAAGGAGTTCCTGCTAACTCCCTTCCCAAAGCTGAGGCAACTTCACTATAGCCTGAGAAACAGGTGGTAGGAAAAAAGGGACAGATGGAACCAAAGTTTGAAATAAAAAAGCAAGATAAACAGCCATACCATAAGCCTTCATCTTCTTGAAAGCACCGGGTCATAGAAAAACAGGGCTGAGAGGGACCTCAAGATACCACTGAAGTTCATCCAACCTACCTTGAAGCCAGGATCAACAACACCTACTTGTTTCATCTGGTTCGCCTGTTCTCAAAGACCTCCATCAGTGGAGATGCCATGCCCTTCCCCTACAATCTGTTCCACCATACACTACCAGATAAGCAAAAGAGGACAAACAAGCCTTAAGACAGCTACTTCTCCTCTTTCAGTGGGGGGTATGATGATTCCCAGGTCTGTCTAATGATCTGAATATATTTCAGAGAAGGTATTCTCTAGATAATTAATTGTTTCTGTCCCGGATTCCTTGGGAAAACATCAAACACTGATGTCTGCTATTGTGTAATATTTGAGTTTTGAAAATACTGATTAATACCAGCATAGATACCAATATACTTACTGCAAGTGCCAAATCCTACAAGGTCAGTAACAAAAGGCTTTGATATGATAATTTCAGCTCATTGCAGATTCAAACTGCAATAAGAGGGCAGGGAAGACTACAGAAAAACCCCACAGCAAAAATCAGCAGCTCAGAGTTGCCAAGTTTCACCCAACTGCAGACAAAAATTAGGCAGTCAACAATGCATCTTCAGCAGAGGCAGCACCATATGATCTCTGTAGCATCCCTCCATCTCATCTGTCTTCAAAGTGCATTCTCAGTGCAAAAAGTAGGACTGAATTTAGAGGGGCTCACTGTCCCCATTGGTTTCATATTAAGACCAGAATTCTTGCTTGAGTTCATATGCTGCAGCTTTGTGTGTGTTAAGTTCACTTCTGCATAGCGGAATGGTGCTGTCCTGGCTCTGCCCCTCAGCATCCATGTCCAACAGTGTCCGCTCCTCTACAGGAGGACCCACCTGGAAAGGAAGCAGCGCAGGCAGTCCAGGTCTCTCTTCTACAGTGCTACTGCTACTAGCAAAACAAGAGTCCAGATTGCTTGGAGTATCAGTACTTGAACTATTGGCAGAAGATTCACCCTTGGCATTGCTGGGTGACACAAACCACCAGGGATCAAGCCGCTGCCGACTGGCTGCAGGACGTGGCCGGGGCAGGAACTCCAATGTCTTGGGTCTTTCCAGTGTGGGATCCTGCTGTGCATTCCATCGTCTCGGGGTTGGAGGAAAAACAAGGTTGGGGTCTGGCAGGCGAGGGACCTCAGTGGGATCTCTACTTGGACTAGGTGTTTTTAATACACCTATCCAAACCAGACAATGTAAGAGAAGAGGGAGACATGTTAGATGTCACTGTTACAACAGATCTTGGTTTATTGTATGTACAGTGCAAAAACATTTTCAAAGCAGAAAGCCTCCATTCAGAATCTACAAACTCCGTAACTCGCTTCTTTATTCCTACACTGTTCTCAACACATTGCAAGACGCTTGTTTCACTGACCTAGCACAAGCACCAAGTTTTGTTCATCCTCTCATTTGCTTTCTTCAGTTTTTCTGACTGGAGAGCACGGATTTGACCTCCTACCAGAGGGGAGAACTCTCCAAATTCTTCAGAAGGCACATTACCCACTAACAGTTTCAATGGATCAGGGAGACGCACAGCATGATACACAACATCTATTTATCACAAGCAGGACCAACTGCCTGGAAGAGCCACTTAACACTACCTACTGCAGATGCTTCCTGGTTTGTTTTTGTTTAGGGGTGGAGGATGGTGCTTGCTTGATTTTTTTTATAAACACAACATAACTTTTACCATTTTAATGAGAATTCTCAACTGCATTAACCCACATTTTACTGTAGACTTCCATTCAAAATACAACCTCACATTTTGTTTTACCATTGGGAAAAGATCTAATTAAATAAAATTTTAATTTATTATTCTATCCTTTTTTCTTCTCTGAATTACTAGGGCAAGAACACAGGAAAATATTTTCTAAGTTATGAAGTCACAGCTACTTTTAAAGATTGCAACAGTGAGAACACTACCTATCCAGAAAGACTCCTCTTATTTGCAAAGGAATAAGAGCAACAGTGGCACAACCACCAACTGTTTTAGAGATCCTGTTTTCACCGCTTTAAAGATCAGAATTTACTTTGAACTACAAACAAGTGTATAAAGGTAATGAAGATGGAACCCCAAAGAACTGTTAAAAACGTGCAGTATTTGTACTTTGGCACCATTTTTGTCTAAGAAACAATACTATGCTCTGCCTTACAGCACAGGGGAGCAAAGAGTTCCTTAGCTCAGAAATGCTGGAACAGAAACCATTACTGCATTATTCTGTTAACTATTTGTGTAAAGATAGCATCCATAAGCAATTCTTGTGGGCTGGTCATCACAGTGATGCTGTATAAGCAACAAGTAATTATACTGTTTGTGTCTTTATTCTGAAGAGGAAAAGGAAGATGGCTGAAAACCTACCTGCTCCCAGTGCTCCAGTTAAACAGCTACTGGAAGGGCATCCACTGGTTGGGCACCCGTTGACAATTAGTCCACTCCCTTTGATGGCCCCATCAGAAGGTGTGCGCCTGTGCCCGCTTTGCTGGGTGTGGGAAGAGACTGTCACATGTGTGGGAGTCAGGGACTGGTTGGGGTCTTGTTTGAACCTCTCGATCTGGACGTTGACTAGTGGGTTGGTAATGGCTGGCAAAGGAGCCTTGACTGTCACTGGGCTGACAGGCATTTCATATACCACAATCTCATCACTGTCTGAGCGCAGCAGGGACCGGGTGGAATTACATTCGGAAATGGAGGACAGGGAAAGAAGGGTAAGGGATGTGGATGGCTCGCCTAGCAACAACATGGGATCCTCCTTCTTGAAGATCTTCCGGGAAGGTGGACTAGTGCTCCTGCGTGGGCGTCCAGCTCGCTGAAAAATGCTGTCACGCTTCTTCTTCTCTTCCTTGGGCACCTCTGGCTCCTCCTCAATCAGCAGCTGACACTTCCCTGCTTCTAACAGATCAAAACCCAGGCCAGCAGCAGCCAGCACTGCTCCACAGCCAAGCAGTGCAACCTCACATCGCTTGTGGTGGGAGCCACTACGTTTGAGGCTGTTGGTGGGTGTCAGCTGTGGGGTACTAGTAGCAGAGTTTACAGGGGTGGACTCCTCATTGGCATCACTAGAAGGGCCATCCCAGTCTTCATTCTTCTGAAATGGGATGCAGAGGTATGACTGATTGTGCACAGGTGAAGGGTGCACTTTGTCCTCTCCATTAAGACATTCGCTGTCTTCATCATCTGGAAAGCAAATGAAAATAGACTTTGCATTGATGTAACACTTTCACTAGCAAATTTCACTGTCTTACAAATATTCATGAAAACAAGCTTCTCCTCAAAAAACGCAACTGTTTTCATCACAAGCATCATTCATCAACTGCCAAATACTCACAGGTTACTGTCTCCAAAGCAAATAGGCTGAGACAAATACCTGGAAGCACTATCAAAGTGGAAGAAATTAGTGACGCATTAGTCTATTTGGGATTAATTGCAGAATAGCATTTCAGAAGCACCCTGCACCTCAGTTACTTCTAGACTAAATTTATATGTTTGTGAGTGAGGAGCAAAAGGTGGGAAAATTATAAGGATCGTTCCTTGCAAGTGAAGGTGTAACCATGCTGCACATCTAAATATCAATATACAGAAAAGGAGCTGAGAGATAGCTTGGAGCTAGAGGAGAATTAACAGAAGCTTATTAACTTGACAGATAACAAGCACAAGCAGAGAGGTGAAAAAAAAGAAAATCTAGAAGGAGGAAGTGGACATTTCACAGAGAATAAAAGAAAAACAGGTACCAAACAAAATGAAGACATAGTTGCAAGGTATCAGGTGAAGGTCAGAAAAGAAGAGGTTTATTCAAATGTGAATGGAAGTGGGGATGAGAGTATCAAGTTCAAGAAATTCCTTTACCCATCTCTGCTAAGCTGGTGAATCCTGGAAAAGCTGGTGCAGTTCTCTGGATCTTCCCAAGGTTCGGTGCACTGGATGACCACTGTTTGTATCCTTCTACCAGAGCTTTCAGACTGAAATAGCAAAAGGATGTGAGAAAATGTACCATGCTCACAAGCAGTTTCCATTTTCCCCTTCTATATTCTCTGTCAGTCTATTATAGTATGCATGTATCCATCTTAACTACACAGATTTGAAGCCCTCCTGCAACAAGAAATTGTGACATTTTTACAGCACCTTAAAACACACAAAAAAGTCGTAAGGTCCCTCCATCGTTTATTACACCACAGAAGTCAAAAGACCTCCACTGATAACTAACAGCTATGAATGTATAATAATAAAAAGCACCACTACAAAAATCAGATTAAACATTTTCTCTTGAAATCAAGGCATCTTGATTTCTTTTGCAATCAATTTTGCAGGTAAAAAATAAAGTGCTCAGCAGAAGGAGAGGAAAAACAACTCCAAAAACATTTCCATGTTTACTGCAATTTTGTTCCCTTTAAATTAAAATTTGCAGTCCAGCATGATCTCAGAAAGAAGGAGTAGTTCACTGTATGTTAACCATACTGCACTCTCAGCAACACTATACTGTTTCAAACAGTCTGCAAAATGCAATAGCTGTATTGAGTCTCCCTAGGAAAGATTCTGAGTACTACAGAACATCTCAGTTGCAGAGAGAACAGGATAGTCTTATGAGCAAGTACAGTTAGCAATCAAGTCCCTTCCAGTTGTCTGTGCCCAAAAGCCATCAGTGCTTCAGACTGTGCAGTAATGAACAGAAAAGTGAAGAGCTTTATTCCCAGAATTCTAAGAACATGATTTCAAGATAAAAGTATTTTTCTTCCAGCTTCAGTGATCTCCTACCCTTTTATATAGTTAATGATTGTAAAGTGTGACATTTCTTTTAATTCTGTAGAATGCTGTACTTCATCTACAGAACAGGTAAAACACAGACATCAGTCAAAGAACCTTCCTCCACATTGCCCTGTCAACATTTCATAAGTGTATCTGAGAGAGAACATAAGTGTATTCTAATAGATCCAGGCTCTCTTGCAGAGGATTGCAATAGCAATGCATTATGCAAACGTGGTTTTCAGGCATTTCACACCTGAGCATACAACAGTTAAAGATTATAACCAGTTATTTTATTTTCCCTGCCAAAAATATGGCAAGAGTCAAACTATCAATTTAGCAGAGGGAAAAAGCTTCAAACTCCATGAAAAAATCACAAAGCATTCAAACCTCTTAGAAGAACAAAATACTCCTATGTTTAGAGCAGCATTTCAGCAATGATCCATTGGAGTCCTGGTATAAATAATTCACACACATGCAAAAAAAAAAGAAGCAGCCACAGAACAACAACCTATAGAAATAGAAGTACAATCTGTACCTCTGCAAAGATCACTTTCAGGATGTATTCACTCAAGGCACACGTCCTTTTCAAATGACTAAAGATATTTGTCTGGCTCTACCAGATAAATGCTATTATTTAAAAATTAAGACAAGAAAAAGCATATCTGAGAATTGTAAGAGAGAAGTATTTTCAGGTACGATACAAAACTACAAAAAGTTGAGCCTGAAAAATAGAGAAAACCTACTAGAGAATGAGTTTTGCTCAGCTAGGAAGTCCTACTGCTTAGAAATACACCTAACAACATAATAGCAAACCGTGAAAGCATCAGTCACCAGCAAGAGATTGAATGCAGTTCTGTAATCTGAATCTCTAACATCTCTGGTACAGGAAATAAATTTGGGAGCAGGAAAGTGTTTGCAAGAGGATAGGTAAATCTCCCAAGAGCCATCTCATAACCTGTTTTATGAGAAATGAGCCTGCCTCCAGGCAGGCTGGAAATGAGCCTGCCTCCAGGCCCTCTCTTACCCATCTTCTCCTGCACCTAGCTCCTTGTGACAAATTGAGCTTGGTCCCCAGGTGCGTCCCTTTTTCTTTTGGCCTCTCTTCTCTTCTTCCTCTCCTTCCTCCTTTGGAAGGACTGAGCTTCGCCCCCACGTTTTACTGCTTTCAGCAGGAGTCACTTCAGAAGTGGGAAGAACAGTGGAAAATGGGAAAGAAAAACAGATAGACAAATTAAAGACTTGGTTCCATGGCAACATGAAGAATAAAACATAGGCCAAAATAGGAGTAGTAGCAAAAATTATTTTCCTGTATTTCTGATCATTTATCAACACAGATCTACCAACCAAATCCCTTCAAAATTAGGTATTCCCTAATCCCTCAAAGTATAGGTAGGCTTTACAGCTTTATTTCATCACTGGTTTCTCTTTAGAACCACCAGTTTGATACCAGACACACAAGTGTCATGATATCCAAAACAAACACTATACATTATCTAACATGACTTCCATAATTGATGCATGTCTGCCTAATTCTGTTTTATTATGGGAACACTATTTGCATGACAAGCACCCTTGTTTTTATTTCCTTACAACAGCAACTTAATCCACTTCAATAATGTTTCACAGATCTACTCTGCAAATTAGCATTTTTAAAAATTAACCTCTACACCTCAGGAATGTATTTTCTATTACAAACAGCAGTATTTCAAGGACTTGGGTAAGTATGGTTTCTACTCCAAAGGAGGTGATATTCCCCCCCATCACCAACACACTTCATTTTCTCTCTAAATGCATACATACAAGGCACAAGGTAAACATTTTAGTACTTTCTTTTACAGTCCTGTCCTAGATATGGAATCTGGGCATCTTACCACGCTGACAGACTGCACATTTCCCAAATTCAATACTACATTGAGCTCCTTACACTGTATGGCCCTGAGTCTGGGAATAATGGTAGGACTTGCAGGAGGGCTGGAGCAGCTACTGATCAAGCTTTTCCTTTTATCCATCGTTGGAGAAGCCTGCACAGTGAATTTATGCTGAAAATCTGTTCAGTAAAAGAAAAAAAACCAAAACAAAAGCAGAAAAACAGTTGAAGTTTTTTTTAACATATGGAAAAAGAAATACTTTATGATAACTTTCAAAGAGCACAACTTATAGGATCCAGGTAGAAATGAAGTTTTACAGCTAATTGCTATTTGCCTTTTGTACACACTGTTACTTCAGAACACAAATGTGTGCTCACACTCTTGGAGATATATCTTCTTAGTGTATGTGTAAGACACATACACACACAAACCCCATGACATTTATGCCAAAGTATATTCCTGTATAATTCCTTTCACCTTATCTCTCAGTTTCTTAAACACCACCAAAAATAGGCATTTACAGACCTAAAGAAAGGCATAGTAAAAATACACATTTTAGCATAATTGCTCTTCTGAACAGCCAATATCTCCTAGAAAACAAATAATATAGTGCAAGCCATCATCCTTGACGTAATGATGAGTCTTAGGTGATTTACAAAACCCACACTTTTGTTCTTTTACAAATTTGAATCTCCATACAGAATCTGCAGTAGAAATGCTACGGATTCAGTATTTCTGAAAATCACCATCTTCGCTCCTAAGAGTGACTTCCCTAACACTTCACTAATATTTAGCATTTCTTCCAGAAAGGTGGTATTAGAGGTCACTTTTGTGTTAATACAAGTTTATATATGAACTAGCAATCCAGAGCTATAGTCTCATAGTTATGAATGTATTTTGGTAATTTTTAGGCTCTTACACCAAAAAATCCAGTACATTACAGTTTCTGCCGCAGCATTATGTAAAGTATTGCCAGAACAATACTTTATCCATCATTTTTTTATGCACATCCTTTATTAAACTGGTATTTTGAATATTAACATGCTAAACTGCAACACCAGCATTTTAACCATTGACCATCAGCCACTGATTAACAAACATGTAACATCTCAAATCTACTTCTGGCCTTCATCTTGGATCTTTGAGCAATGCTAGTCACAAAAGCAACAAATTTATTTTACTGAACCCATGAGGCATGTTTTTTTCCCTAAGTACATCCAATACTTAATGCTCAAGTATCAGCAGTAAGGAGCTACCAAACCTACAGGTTGCTCCCATTTCACCTGGTACAGAACAACACATCACCAACCTGAAGGCAGGCTGATATGATTGCCATCTTTTAACTTGAGCCGGTTCCTCTTGAACTTTCCCATGCGTTTCTTCACCCGAGGCTTCTCCTGACACAGTTGGTGGATGATGATGTTGAGCTCCCTTTCCAGGATGTCAATCTCACGTTCTGCCAGCTCCTGTTCCCGCCTTCGCAACAGCTCTTCATGATTCTTCTGTTCAACAGCAGCACGAGTCAGCTCTTCTTCCCATGTGCGCAGCTCCTGTAAGGAGATAAGAGAGCAGAAATAAAAAGCTACCTTGTGACCTGTGTGTTAAGACTAACACTGCCTGTTCTAAAGGTACAGCAGCAATGACTTGTGCTCACAGCACTGCTAGCACCACTGTTTAAAGGCTCAGCTGAAAGCCAAAAGCAATCCTCAAGGACTTCTATGCTTGCCATTCTAGGACCTTCATACCAGTATTAAAATTTGGACATCAGCACTTGTGAGGCCACACCTGAAATCCTGTGCCAAGTTCTAGGCTCTCCAGTACAAGACAGATATGGACATACCGGAGACAGAGTCCAACAAAGGGCCGTGAAGGTGATTAAGAGGCTGGAGGACCTCTCCTATGAGAAAGGGCTGAAAGAGATGGGACTATTCATCCTAGCACAAAGAAGGGTTGGGTGGGGTAAAGGGGGATCTTATCAGTGTATGTAAAAACCTGAGGAAAGGGCGGAAAAAAGATAAAGCCAGGCTCTCTTCAGCAGTGCCCAGTCACAGGACAGAGGCAACAGGCATACACCGAAACACAGTAGACTGCCTCTGAATGCTTTTTTACTGAGAGTGTTACTGAACACTGGGCATAGGTTGTCCAAGGAGGTTATAGAGTCTCCCTTCTTAGGAATATTCAAAAGCCATCTGGACATGGTTCTGGCGAAGATGCATAAGGCAAACTTTTCAGTCTATCTCTTGCTGACAAAACGAATCAACTGAAACTGTCCTTGAAATCTCAAAAAACTTCTCCCTGCACTCCTCTCCTCTCCCCACAAGTACAAAAGAATTCAGCACTCAGAATAATTCTCTCCAGCTAGCTAATTCCAGTGCAGAAGGTAAAAACTGAAGAATTTAAATTAAACTTCAAAAAGACAATCAGATAGATTTTAGTTCAGATTTTTTTTCAGAACAGCATTGTTACCTGTCTCACCACCAGGGAGATTTGGTACCGTTTACTCATTAAGTGAACAGCACATAAAATTATTTCCCCATCACTAAAAAGGAATAGAGTATTCAACCTGAGGGCAGTCTAGTAACTACTGTTTGGCTTTCTGCTTGTCTGTTGAAGTTTCTGGTTTTCAAAAGCTGTTCCAACACAGTTACAACATAGGACAACAGTAGCAGAGAAATGTCTATTAGCTATTCTATTTTCCCCAAAAGCTACCATAACAGGTGAATAGAAATGTTTTAAGTATTGTTGTAGGACTTCTCTCCTCTGACCCAAAGTCATCTTTTTCTTCTCTCTGCCTCCTAAATCCAATCTCAGAGCCCTGATCAAGTTGGAGGCTCATTATGAATTTATTTTTAGGCAAGAGATCGTGAACTTAAAAAAATATTACTTCAGCAATTTTGTTGCAGTTTTTACCATTGACCGTAAAGACAGTCTCCGTAAGAACCTTAACTTAGATGCAGCAAGCTGTGCTTTCTGAAAGTATGCATAAAGTAAACTTCAGCTTTTTCACTTTTATTTGAGGTTGATGGTCACCACTCCTTTTATTTCTGCCAGCATTTTTGTTTTCTGCTTTTTGTGCAGATGGACTTCAATTAGAACAGTTACTACACCATTCCCTTGGTAGCACTCATGTTTATCATAGTCTATGCACTTTGGTTGTCCTTAAAACCTGGAAAACACAAATTTGGCAGAATCAAAGCTGCAATGTGTACTAGAGTATATATGCTGAAACTACCCCTCCAACATCTCCTGTTATCATAAGGTTTCTCAATTAAGTGAAACAGTTATCAGATGATTAAACAATTTAAAGACAACTCATCATAGCAATTGTACAGTGTATAATGGAAGCTCACTACAATATTAGAAAGAGTAGCAGCTCAGGATGAGGATATTTATTTTTTTCATGAATCTACCCCTCCATGTATCATAACCTGCCATTGATTTAGGGACTTAATACAAGCTCCAGTAAAGCATAGTCAAAATTATATCTGGGATGCACTAAAAAATGATCCCTGTTTGAGTTATAAAATGGGGAAATAATAATCCAGAGAGCACAAGCAGGGAGCACTGTTCTCTCCTTACCTTTTCTTTGGCTCTGAGCTGATCAAACATCTCTTGGATCTCTTGTTTCCAGTCTTCCTGCAGGGAGTGGAAGGAATCTTTGGGCATTTCAAAGAAACCAGACTCTTCTATGGCAGTAAGATGGTCTAGGATACTGGCAAAGGAAGGTCGAGAGTGTGGGTCAGGGTTCCAACAATCTAGAAGAGGACAAAGATAAGCAATTGTCAAGCATCTCTAAGTATGGAGGTCTGAGAGGATGAGTAGTACTTTACTGATCCCCAGTGGCTAAGAGTGGCATGCACACTATCTGTTACCCCACCTTTCCCATTTCCCACTTGCACTGTCCATTGTCAAGTATGCAATTCATGCTTTCATGATTATACAATATCCAACATCACTTAAAAATCTTGAACTACCTAACTACCCGGTCTCTAGATTCTCTTGCAATAATATGTCAAATAAAATAAAGGTTTACTAATTGTACAGAAAGTTATATTTTCAAGCATTTTTAAGAAATAACAAATAATTGCCTTAAATATTTTGCTTTAAAATGTATGTATATGTTCACAGAGTGGAAATTTATGCAAGGCTCTTGTAAACAGTTCTTTTATAATAGCTACACTGCAGAGTTAACAGCCATAGTGCAGAAGGGTATCTATCAGGGTTTTTTCTAATGCCAAACTCTAATATCAAACTGAATCATTACGGATCTCTTTTCAAAACTGAAAACCTCTCCTACAAAGCAAACTGGACATAACTTGAGTAAAATAACGACATCAAATAGTGCATTTGGAGTTTTCTTATTTGTAAGGCTTCTTCTTTATCATTTGAGAGAAAATTGTTTGATCAGACCTTTTTCTTTTGCTTTTAAGAGAAACAATAGATAAACAAGTTTTTTCATTTACAATCTAAAGCAATTACTTAGCCAATTACAGAGTTCTAAAAATGCAGACTTTAAGGTAGTCATCTTTCCACATAAGGCAACTCAACGACCAACAATACAAAAAGTAATGTTTCTACAGTGATGGGAACCGAACATTGAAAACAGAAACAGAAAATAGTATGAAGTAACTGCTCAAGCTACAAAATCACTAAGAATATATTTTTAAAAAGCCTTTACATCAAAACATTTGATTTAACAACGCTTTTGAATAGGAAATTTGTACTCTTTCAGTCTTCCCTCTTACTGCACCCTCACTTCTACTCCTGCAGAAAACATCCCTTTTTCATTCTACTTTGCCCTGTACTGGCACTAACACAGGTTTTTGTTCAACAAATACCCTTATTCTCTTGACTACTGCTGGACTCCTGTATGCCAAAATTTCAGAGCAACCACAGAGAAAAACTTAACGTTCAAGTGCATTTCCAGGGAACACAGTTTTTCTGCATGAATAGAAGTAACTAACTCTCTCAGTATGTTCATACTGTCATTGCTGTACATGGTCACTGGATTTAAGACACACATTACTGCAGCATGAAGCAAGCATCATAAAAATGTTCTAAAAGTTTTTCAGACCTTGAAGTTGGAGAAAAAAGGAAACATTCTTAAAAATATTTGGTGACATTCATTCATCAGATTTGTGAACTGAAATACACCAAAGAGCAGCTGTAATTAAAAATAAATATCACTTCACAAAATCTGTGCAACTGCTGAGCCTTGGTCTTGCAGGTCTTTAATTTTAGCCTTACTGAGATTTTGCATTTGGGAGCTTTGGTTTCAAAACTGCGGGTATCAACAGGTTCCTTGAGACATAAGCTGGAATGTGTTTGTGTTTATGGCTTTCAAATTGCTTCTCTTACCAAAACAGAGAACCGAGGATGTTAGAGAGTGCTCTGAAGGTCCCCTGCTGCTGGCCAATTAGTAGCAATGGGTGTTACAGCTGGACTGTCAGTGCCATAATCCCTGTCTCTTTACCCCAGGTTTTAAACATAGCAAAGCAAACATGACCCAAAGTAAAATAAAATGCTGCAGCCAGCCAAATGCATGAATGAGTGAACAGGATAACTAGCAGGTGGCCCGTGGCTTTTATTTTCCCAGGCCTAGATCTGCCATTATTTGCACTAATGAGGACAGTTGTAACATACAAGTCTTTTCTGAGAAGACCTGAAGTTCAGCTTTGTTGTCTCAGTGTAGACCACCAGGGCAGTAATTCAAAAGTAAAAGCAGCATTAGGGGAACAAGAGTTCACTCGAGATGGGAAACAGCCTGTTTGAAAAACAGTTTTGGTGAAGGGGCAGAAGGTAATTGTTTTTTTTTTTTGTTCTTCCCTTCCCCCTGCACACGGAGAAACCAAGCGTTCCAAAGCTGAGCCCTGCACTGACCATATGCCTCTACCTCACTTTCCCAATAGAGGGCATTATTTTTAAACCCAGCTGCAGAACCACGTCAAAACAAACCGCTCTGGCACAACACTGAGCTGGTAGTTCCATTAACTCTTTCAGATGCAGTTTCTTGCTTTATGTTGCTTCCAAGCTACTCTACCTGCAACTCTGCTGCTGTTTACTCTCTAGAAGGACATTTCTTTTTAGCAGAACAGTACATGAAATTTTCTACTTTAAATTAACTGAAGCCTGTAACCTAAAGAAAAGACCAGAGAAAGGCAGAAGTATTCTAAAAGCAGAGAAATCCATCAGAAACATTTTCTTACAGGGCTTATATTCCTTTCTTGGGCTAAAACACCACCAGAGGCCACAGAGTATCAGTTCTATGTTGAGATTAACTCTTTGCTCACCAAGACTATAAACCAAGTTTGATTTCTCTTTCTCTCAGATTTTGTTCTGCCAGATAGGTATAAAAATGTTTATTACATATAAACATCTGGAAATCCTTGGGAATAGGGGCACTGACAAAATTACTAAGGGTAATACTGGAAGAGAGAGAGGGAAGGAGAGAGGGAAGGAGAGAGGGAAGGAGAGAGGGAAGGAGAGAGGGAAGGAGAGAGGGAAGGAGAGAGGGAAGGAGAGAGGGAAGGAGAGAGGGAAGGAGAGAGGGACGACTGCAGCTAAGGAAACAAGCAAGTAGCTGCAAGGGCCAGCAGGGAAGGACACATAAGTACACCCCGAAAGCTAGCTCACACAATCCTTTTTAATAACTACAGCAGCTCTGATGAGATAGTCCTATATTTCTTTCATCTCTATGTAGCCCACTGTGGGCATGAACTATCTCCACCTACAAAGCAGAAAATAACATCTTTCTGACTCAAAATATTGGTTGTTTTGAAATGTCAAAGCCACATTTAAACCCTCTACCTGAAATGTCAGTAGGATAAAGTTTAATTTCAAATCACTGCCTAGCATGATGTTCAAGCTATGAATTTTAAAACAAGTTTAAGACTTCAAACTAGACCAAAGCATGTGAAGATTTGGTGTTGGTGAGCCTTCACTAGTAGAAAACAAACTAGATGATGACAGCAATAGTCCCCATTTTCCTATAAAGTCAGTTGATAAAAAAAGGCACAGAAATTTCTTTAACTACTCTAGTAATAGAGGAACTGTCACAGCACATTAACAGCCAAGCCTGGCTCCTGTAATAACCTGCACCATTGAATAAAACCATTTGAGAAATCTGTGCTCTTGGGTGTCAAAACCAACACAAAGAGGCAGTGCTCAACAGCACTCTAGAAACAGCACAAACCACACTCACATCACACCTAGCTTACCTTCCATGAGTTTGGCAAAAGGCTCTGGACATGTGGAAGGGATTGGAAGGGCAAGTTTATTCATGGCAACACCGTATGCTACCGCAAGACCATCAATTCCTCGGAATGGAACTTCTCCTGTTAGCAGTTCCCAAAGCAGCACACCATAACTACCAGGAAGAAACAGAAAAGAGAGCAGGTGTTTGACTTATACACATTCTTTGTTAAGCAACAAGAAGGTACCTGAACCTATAAGAGTATACTAAAGAAATTGCAGTTTTCTGGACAAGCTTATCACGATTGCGAATCTGGTGATGTGCCTTATTTGAACTGCCTTTTTTTAATAAGTCTGAAATAAGATGCCATTTTCACCTTTTAGACAAAAATAATTTTCTCTCTGGAAATTTGGAACAATTGAAAACCATAAATCTTCTAACTAATTTAGCAAGTTTCAAAGCAGTACCTCTCAAAACACTGAAAAATGTGAAGGAGGGTTGTTTGGCGGGATGTTATTTTTAAAAATAAGTCAAAAATACTTCTTCAGAATTAAGTTGTTCTTAAGATGTTCCCTGAAATATTAACTATGAAGTTATGGAAATAGTTTCAAGACTGTTCTCCCCCCAAGTATACAATGAATGACACATCCTCAGAATATTTTCTCTACTTCTAGGAAACCCGAACCAGAAACTGCTTCTTCATACTTGGTGACCTCACAGGTTTTTCTTTCATTGGTCTATCTGTCCTACTCTCTTCTGAACCCATTTACCATCCACTATGTTCTGTGGTAGTGAATTCCACAACTTTAATGATGCATTGCCAAAAAATACTTCTGTGTATTTGTTTTGAGCTTGTCACTTGGTAATTTCATCTGCTTCACTGTAGTTCTTTCAAAACAAGAAAGAGTGAACATATGTTCCCCTATTAGCTCCTTCCATGCCATCCGTGATTTCACAGGCTCCCATGCATCCTGCCTAAATCACCTTCTTTCTAGACCCCCAAATCCTAATCTAGCTAAATCCTAATCTAGTTACTATCCCAAACAGAAGCCATTTCATATCGTTCATTGCCCTTGACGTCTTCTGTTGGAATGAGGAACATCACAAAGTTTTAAAGATACAGGGAGAGGCACAAATGGTACTGCTTTAATTTCCTATTAAATTTCAATTTGCTACTTGCCTTTCTGACTCTTTACAAAATGAGCTAGATTACCCACAGTAGCTCCAATATCTTTTTACTGACTCATCATAGTAAAATTTAGAGCCTATCATTGTACATATGAAATTCTCCCATGGGTACTACTTTGTATATATTACCATCCATTTTATCATTCATTATAGTAAAACTTTTCCTCAGCTCTCTGCAGTAGATTAGTTTTTCTTAATCCTGAATAACTCAGTATCATCAACCATGCTACCTCACCATTTATTGTTGTTTTTTTTTTTCAAATCACTTATGATTGCGTTGAACACAGAATTCTCCACCAACATAACTGATTTATTCCTTTAGTAATTAAGAATTGACTAGTGATGGGAAACAGACTTGCCCTCTTTTCTCACATTAATTTACTTTCTTTAAAAGCTTTTGATGAAAGATTTTGTTTAAAGTCTTTATAAATCCAAATATAATATAAGCAATCTTACCGCTTACCACATGGTCAGTAGCTCCTTCAAGCATTTTCACAAGGTATTATATTTTCTTCTATAAAAGCTGACTCTCCCCCCAGATATGCTCATATGTCCACTAGCTCCCTGCTCTTTAGTGCTGTTTCTACTGTTTAGAAGAACTGAAAATCATACTTGCCAGTCCTCAGGAAGCTCTTTTAGGACTTGTCACCATGTTTGCTGCCTTCCATTTTTCTGGTACTATAGCAGCTTTAAGCAACAGACTACACAGGACAGCTATTAACTCAGCTGACTCTCATGTTCTTGTAGAAATCTTTGGTGTTACTGTAAATCTCAGCAATTTGTTACTGCTCATTTTATCAGTCAGTTTTAACACTTCTGTGGACTGTACTTCAGTAAGATACGTCCTCTAGCTTGGCTCCCTAATAGAGAAATTTTCAGCTTAAAAAGTCTCTCTTTGCTCCATTCTGGCAGACACAAGTCACTAAGGTTTTTTTCTGTTAGAGCCTCATCTTCTTTGCCTTCTTAGATCTTGGTCACCTCTGGGCTGTATGCTCTCCTGCAGGGTTCTCACCTGTAGTGCATTTGAAAGCAACTGATTTGGTTCTATGCTTTAAGACTCTCCCCAAAAACCTTTTATCTTCTTAAGTATTTTATGTTCAACTTGCCAGAGTTTAAGCCCATGCCTAATTTTCCTCACTGGATACAGATTCAACTTTTAGAAGGATGTCTTTCAGAAGTCTCTTCTACACTGCCTTCTTCATTTTTTTAAAGCCTTTCCTATACATTCACTCAAGAGATTTAATAAAAGTGTCCTTAAAAGGTATCCATGTTCTATGTTCTCCTTTCATTGTTTTCACACAAAATTCCCAATGTCGTCATTAACCTCCTTGAGATTAAACACTGTTTTAATGGACTAATTTTTCCTCATTGCTCTTGGAAAGATACTGAATCTAAGTATACATAATTTGGACCGTGTCATACTGTACAATCTTGAAGGCTTCATAAGCACACTTGAAGACCAAATGAAAAACTGCTGTTCCTCCTACAAGCTCCTTAAATAGCTGCTCCATGAAACTGTCACTTCTGAAGCTAAAAGATTAAGTTTTTCTTGTTTCAAAGCAACAGTTGCCCTATCCACTTGGGAGTACATTATCACAACCCGTGATAATGGGTTGCAATCTAACCCCTCCACCCTACCAAGTCCTTAACATTCACTGTGACTGCTGCCACTGTAGTTGAACATCCTTAACAGTACTCTTCCTATTTAGATATAGGACTTTAGTCACTAATGATTCTACCTTTGCTGCTAATACAGCTAGTTCACTTTATTCAGCAAAGTATGTTTTTTCACCTACACAATATTTTGCGTTTTTTTTCCTATGCAATTCATATTCTTGATATTGTAATTTATTACTTCTTACTGCCTCAAGAGCCTTATTTATAAAAAACTAACTAGAGTTAAAGAGTTCCCATTTTCTTTTTTGTCCTTCTAGGATTAATAAACACTCTAAGAAAATGAATACTGGACTGAATGCATATTTGGACTGTCTAAATCTAATTGATCATTCATGTTACTCTTCAGTTTGGATATGACTCTTGGTAGCAAAATGTATTAAAAACTAACAAACAGCTGTATTATTACTTTACCACTAGTATTGGATAAAGCACTACTGATGTGCTCAAAGCACTTCTTCCACAGTCAATTTTAAAGGACAAAGGAATAGACAGACTGATGTTTCTTCTAATGTGACACTGTATGTGCATATTGCAGGAAAGGTCACTTTGCTTCTGATAAAACTGGATGCCACCTCTTCCTCACGTACTTACAAGTATATTGCTGAGAATACTGCTTCTATAGAACTAGGGGAATACTGCTTTGTGGCACTTCAACAGTAATCCCAAGTGATTAAACAGCAAGAGAGGTGCTGAACAGAGTGTTTTCCATTACTCAAGCAGAAAATTGGGAAGTACAAAGGAAGAAGCCAGAGTCAGAAAACTTATGCAAAAAAAAAAGGCATAGGAATAAAGAAACAAGGGCATCTACTCATTCTCAGCAGGGAGAATGAAAAACTGATCAAGCTCATTTATTTTTCCAGCACCCAGCAGTAATTTTTGGACTTTAATTACAAAATGAACCATGTGATACAGACCATGCATCCAAGTCAACTGACACTTGTGTGAATAATTAACCATCTTTCAGTGATCCAGTAATCCCTTAAGCCATTTAACATCAGGTTCAATCCTACACACTGGATTTTCAGGGTGAAGGAGGCTGGAGGTCTGCAGGATTTCACATGTGATTTTGCCACCTCCCTTGTTAGTCTGTGAACTTATAAAAAAATCAGTAATTTCTTCTCACTGATATTGTTCCATGGCATTTGTACCATTGACTTCTCTTCTCCATCTCCCTAGGTTCAATACTTTCAACACAACTAGGTTTCAACACAAGGAATTATCAGCCCAACAAGGAGACCCCAGTTCCAACAGAAACTAGAACATTACTTTTGTTAAGAGACAACTCCACAAACCTCATTACATTTTAATGGCTAGTAGCAGCTAACATTTTGCATGTTATCGAACTTGCAGTTCCAGAGCTGACATTTTCTACCCATTTCACATCAGTCATTATGCTTCTCCCGGGTGAGCTTCTACTAACACTGCTAGTCAGCACTTACTTGCCAGGTACTGAAGTCTTGCCAGTGCTTCATTACACACAGGGAATTACAAAAGCCTACCATCAGTCAGTTGTAGATGGAAGTACTTGACCAACACTTGATTAAAACAAAACATTCTAATGACCGAAGTTTCTACACGCAGCACTAAATACCTCAAACTTCCTGATCTGCTAATCTGATGGTTTTAGCTAGTGCTGGTATTCCATTTCCAAATGACAATTAAATTCCCAATTATTTCACTGGTGTCAGAGTAGATACATGTTAAAAGCATCTAACTTGAGGAACACAGGGAACTCAGATGAAGGTTGTATGGTACCTTTATATTCCACATACCAATCATACTGACAATGGCTGTCTTTTAAGCAGCACAAGTAAAAAATTAAGTGTATTTCTTGTTTGCTGCACATTTAAACAGTCAAATTACAGGGAAATTTGATTTATATGCCTACTAAAATTAGCTTGCTGTATAGTACTGGATAAGATGCAATATCCAGGCTTCAACTTCACCCCTGCAAATCCAAAGCAAATCTAAATACATAAATAGATCTACAGGAACGGACTTATTTAAATAAAACTGTGGCTTCTTTGTCCTGTCTGCAATATAAGCACAAGGTTTCTACTATATATCTAAAGCTTGCCGGTACAGAAGAGCAAAATTCACAGTAACAAGTTTTCACTAGCAAGTTTTACTAGGTACTGGTAATATTAACAGGCTTTACAGTGGCCCAGACCCTGGTGACAGATACCAGTGTGTGGGGCCATTCCTCACTCTTTGAAGTTTTTTGCCAATCCTACTTTACAGCGGGACATAAAAAACAGTTTGGATTTTTTAAATGGAGCTTGATACATGTTTTGAAAGGATGAAGCAGTTAGTTATGATAAAACTGACTCAGGAAATTGCAGTCCTAGCAAGCATCTTCTTCGGCATCTTCTTTACCTCTTTTTGCAGTGACAACCCAAGCAGAACAAGATCCTTTTTCAATGGCTGGGCAACAATTCAGCCAGCAGTATTATTCTAACAAGCTTTAAAGAAAAGGTGTTGAAATAAAAGGGTTTGTGAATGTTAGAGAGACAGAGACAGCCAATTCTGCTGATGCTGCACAGATCAACAGTAAGGCTGCCAGGTAAAAAAACTCCCAATGACTCCAATGATTAACCAAGAGGTTGAACTGGACAAGAGGAAGGGCAAGTCTAATAGGATAAGAGAGTTCATCCTGTTAAGAATTTCTGGTTCCATCCTTGGGTGGGGACAGAATTTATCATACAAGTCCGTGACTGCTTTTGTAAAATCTAGTGCTTATCATCATTGACACACTAGTAGTGACTGCTCTGGAAAGTATTTGTCCTCTGCATACACACCTCAAACATCATGTTCTTTTCGGTTTATTTAACTACGAATAGAGGTTTTAGCCACCCAGGAGAAAAGCCTTCTTCAGAGATAGTATATAAGTTCTCTTAATGGTGATGACACTCTGTTGAGGGGAGAATACTGTGAGGAACTCAACCTGTTTTCAAGGCAAGACTGGTAACTATAACAAGAGAAAGCAATGAAGGAATCTTAAAAGTAAAAATAAAGTATTCTTAAAAATTACCACATCATTTAAGTTATGTACAATCCTTAAGTCCTGAAGTGATTCACAGTTCGTAAGTCAATGACCAAACTGGTACTTTTGCACAGATAAAGAGGCACTTGTGCTACCTTCACAAAAACCATCAACCAAGAAATTAAGTCTTACCTTTTTTAAAATAAACTCATACTGGTACAGAACATCTACTGATCTGTTCACAGCATGCCTGGATTACAATTACAATTACAGCAAAACAGTTTCCCCTTTGCCTTCTCCCTTTCCCTCAGGTTACCCTTAAAGGCCATTCCTGGCATAGTTTCAGGGAAGAGCAAGTTGAGGTTGGAGCTCGACAAGCTGTGTACAAAGCAGAACTGTCATCATGTACACAGAAAGGTGCACAGCCCTGAGATTTTCACTTCTCTCAGACTTCACTCAGAATAAAAGTCTGGTTCTTGCTCAATTTGTCTTAGATAAACTACAGAGGTTACCACATTTCATTACAGAGTCAGAATTTTACCCACACTATTAGCGTGCAAAATCTAAATTCACAGACTTATCACAAAGCAACATCTATTCAGCAAATCTGGATAAGGAAAATGAAAATCCCCACACCAAATCTCTGCCATAACAGCCAGGCAATTCTGCCAGATGGGATATTCTTTATCCTGACTGATTTCACATTAGGCACTCACTTGTGCGAGAGCATTACTGGCCAGCAACAGAACCGTACTGCTCTGAAGTCACCCTGACATTTCAACACATCTTTCTCCACAAGAAAAACAAAATTCTTGCTAACTCATCCGTTTCAGATGTTCAATACCAATTCTAAGTCATCCAGCACCCAGAAAAGTCATTGTCCTAGAGATATTTACTGAATTCTTTATTTACTAATTCACTTAATGGCGGTATTCAAACTCAGCTTCTGGAAGTCTATGGGTTGACTGTCACACTCCTTTCCACTAAATTAATTCATTCACAAAAATCCCAGTGCATGAACGGAAAAGACAATATATACGTGTAAGTTACTACTTATGGATTATGTACTCAGGCAGACCTAGAGAAGAGATTTATTACCCTGTGAAAGACTAGAAGGGTGGAAATCATTAATAAGAATAATGAAAGCGAAAAACATCACATTTGGATTGAAACTGCATGGGGAATTCAATTAAGTACAGTACATCAGTGACAGATTACTAACAAAACATAAAATTATCTTACTATTGGTAAAAGAGTAAAGTACTTCTCAAATGGTATTATGGCCTTTGATTATGTTAGACAACAGCCAAATAAGCACAAAAAGTTTAGTTTAGATAAAGCAGAAGGGATTTGATTATGAGTCCCAAAATTATCTGAATGCAAATTTATAGAACAACAAGAGGCATGCAGTAGCTGATCCACCATTTTCTATAGTAACAGTAAGTCTGAGATAAGTCTAACAGATGGAAAGTTGATGGATAAAGTTTTCTTAAGACCTGAATTTTAATATTTGGTTCACCATTACTCATTCTTAAACATAAAAGAGGTTTCCTGGCAGGTCTAGTTACTCTTTAGTATCCAATCGCTTAATGCCGAATCAATACCTCCAAACATCGCTGCCTTTGGAGAACATGGAGGAGCGGATGACCTCAGGAGCCATCCAGGCATATGTTCCAGCTGCGCTCATTTTGGTAGTTTTATGCCATTCCCTGGCCAAGCCGAAATCCGTGATCTTCAACATCTTGTTGCTCAGATCTCCATTTTCCACCTTTTCGAGTATCAGTACTGGAGAAAAGGGAAGGGGGGGAATAAAAGGTATGCAGAGTAAAGCTAGTATTTATGCAAAAAAGATTCTCCTGGAGATCTCCCAAATTTCAAGATTCTCCCTAGCTTTTTGTTATTCAAACATATCATACTCCATTACAAGTTATTTCAAGCTGATCCCTTCATCTGACAACTGAATAGCTGTCTGGCAAATAACTTCAAATTTAACAAAAGTACCAAGACCCAGAGAACAAATACATAATAACATAATTATTTAATAAAGTGCCTAGTGTTCTGTATAATAATTCTCTGCTAAGAGGAAGTGAACCACTGTAACTTCTAGAAATCCAGATAAGGGAAGACATTTCCTAATTAATCCTCTCTCAGCAAGCCAGTAATAGCATCTTTTTCTTGAACTGCTTAGAGGACTTTTTTTTTAAATCCAGATACACACACAGGCTGGATATGCCCTTCATTTAAATGTATTAGGAGTGGAAGCTCTATGCATAATTTTTTTTTAAAGTCACAATTGAAAAAAATATATTTATAATTGGTAATAACATGGCCAATTCCAGATTTCATATACACCACCACAGATTCCCTCTCCCATCATTATTAAGCTACTTTTTGGTTAAGTTGCCAAAGTTTCTATCTAGTTTCAGTGACAAAGGAGTCTAAACCCAAGAACTTCAAAAACACCTTGAGGCAGAACTCCAGAATGTTTTTTTAGCCAGCAAGTTGTACTGTCACACCACTGGGAAATGAGTGTAAACTAGAGGTCAAAAGTATCCACTCTGCTTTAGCAGCTCTCATTATCCTATTTATCTTACTGTAAAGTGACCACACAGGTTGTGCCAGCAATGTAACACAAGCAACAGATTACAAGAGGGCACTAAACTTCCATAACTAATGCCACCATAAGCCTGTGAAAGAATTTTCAGCTACTTTGTCAAAGACCACAAAGTAAAAACATTTGTATTACTATTAGTCCAAAGACCTCACAGCAAAGATCATCAAGCCAGTAATATACCGTCATCATGCTGCTACTCTGTTTTAATGTCATTACACACTCAGGTTCTTAGAACACATGAGGGTGTTTTTTTCCTTTTCTATGCATGCATGAATTAAAAAACAACCCCAAAAAATAAACAAAAAGAAACCTTGCAACAACCCACAACCAAATAATCATGGATCATAATAAAACCTACAAAAAGCAAAACTGCTGCAAAAATTACTCAACATATAAAAATCATCTTCAGGACTACTTTTATCAGTCTATGAAAAGACTCAAGTATCAGTTTCAAGTTAACACAGTTTTTTTTGGGGGGGTGAGGAAGGGGATGTAGGAAAGGGAAGGAAGAGGAATATTGCATTCAATCTCATACTTCCCCACAACAATCAGTGGGAATTCCCATGAAATAAAAGCCTGAAGTGTTATTTGGACCCTTCTGCATAATAAGCAGCACACATCTAAACGTTAAAATACTGTACCTACTTTTATTGAAGTTAAACAAATTATCTGTTATTTGAAAATTTTAAAAAATCAGTTACTCTTTCTACATGGCTTCAGAATTGACAAAATACTACTTCAAAGATTGTTGTGATTATTCAAGCTGTGAATAAATTAGACCTATGGTTAAGCTCTTGAGTCTTGCTTCTTTTGCAAAATTCCTTTCTAACATGACTGAATGCTCTGTTTTCCTAATTGCAGAAGAAAGACGAGACTGAGGCCTAGAGTTATTATTCTCTTCATTTGGGCAAAAGCATACACATTTTTAGAGCAACACTTCAATGTAGAATAGAACCACCACAAGAAACCAAGGAACAGAAGGCGGCTTCCTTTGAGCCTCTTCTTCTAGTAAGGCTAACATTTTTCCTTCTTTCTAGCAGATGAAGAACTACTAAGAGAAACTGCCTACAAGTCATTCATTGATTACAAAGTGAAAAGCTCCCGAAGTGAAAAACTTACTAGAATACACATATTATTTCTTCTTCTAGCACATAACCATTTTGCCTAAAGAGCTGTCAGAATAACAAAATCTAATTTTAAATTTAAATGCAGTAATACAGAGATATACAGTGATGTAGTAAAGGCAAAGTAAAACTCTGAAATAAGAAAGCATGGGTTTGGGTTTTGTTGTTTGGTTCTGTTTGTTTGTTTCTGTTTTTTGTTTTGTTTTTGTTGTTGTTGTTGTTTTTTGCTTCCCTCCATAAGCACAATGAGGAACAACCAAATTTATTTTTCACAAGGTACATCATATTCTGCCTGAATGAGCTCAGTAGCAGGACAGAGCACCATGTACCACAGTTGGTTTGTACATACCTTCCAAGTAGGAGGTTATTTAGATTTAATTACCTTGATTTGCACTAAGTTCTAACAAAATAATAAGTACTTATATAGATCTTTTGTATCCAGAACTTGTTCTATTGTCAGATGCAGGATATTAAGAAAGTTACCATAATGAAAGACCACAGAGAAGGACAATGAAAGCTGGATTTATTGCAAGTCCTTGATTGTTTAGTTACATCCTTGTCTCCTCTCCTATTTCTTTGCAATAACTGCTTGGAATAATAATATCATAATCCAAAATTTTAAAAATTAATTTTAAGAATGGTATCTCTTTCCAGCATTTGCTTCGGTTCTCCTTATCATTATCATATTATTCAGTATCAATGAGCTCACTTGTACCTGTCAGATTTTCAAACCAAAAACATTGATTCTTCCCCTTGCATTTGCTTGAATTTCAGTGGAGAATTTGTAAATAGGTGAAATATTAATTTCTATCAATTTCCTCCTTAAAAATCTCTTTTATGGAGAACACAAGGCAGGTTGCTAGGACACAGCAAATACACTTTACTTATGCTAATCAACACGGTCTCATTTACTTCTGTGTTTTATCTAAGACTAGTTAGTGCATCTTGTTTAATACTCTTGAGTGCAAGTCCTCAAGCACTACTTCTTCTGCACTCATGTTAGTCTATCACAAAACAAACAAGAAACATGAAACACAAACAAGTAACATACTTCCTACATTTACAAACATGCCTTTCCATCTTTGTATAGATTTGATCACTCAGGACTGAGTTACAGTGGCCAGATGATTAACATCTGGCCTAAAAAGTTCAGACACAAATACAGAGCACTTACTCTGAAACTCAGCTAATCTACCAAGGCAGTAAATCTCCTCATTCTTGGTTGCTGATTTTAAAGATCTGCATGTGATACATAAGTTTAAAATAGGTAGAAAATTTAACAGAAAATCTTTCACATTGCCAGTCTTAAAGAAAGAAATTGTTTGGCAGCAAAAACACTGGGCCTAGTTTTCAAGGAACTGGAGAAGAATGAGATCCTAATCAGCAGGAACATGCAGAATGTGTGTCAGCTTGTTCGGGGTGGATTGGTTTTTCCCTGTTCCAGCAGGGCCCATGCAAGAAATCTCTTCCTGAGTGCATGCACAGAGCCAGCCAAGTTGTAGAGGAAACTCTGCTATGTACTGCTGCTCCTCTTTTTCCTCTGTAGCGTGGACTAAAAGCTGATCTTAAGTAGCATGGTGAGGAGTCAACCAGCAATGTGCAAAGGGGACTGGTGAAGTAAATCAGGTATTACAAAGCACATTCGATAGCTTTGAGCACCCAACTACTAAAGCAAAACAACTTAATATAGCAAATCACCAATACCATGCTTTTTGCAAACTGCAAGTGCAAAGCAAAGCATGGTGGCTTAAACTAGCATTAAAAATTGCCAGCAACTTTAGGTGAAATGTACCATGAACATGTGACCTTACAGGAGTAATAATCCAGAAGCGCTCACATATGTTTTCATATATTCCTGAAGGACTCGAAACTTGTCCTCTGGAAAATAAGCATTTGACAATGAGAAATTAACTACTGCTCACAGGAATTCTGTCCAGCAAGACAGCTCTTCCACATCTCCACGTGTCCCAACATGGAAGAACTAAGAACAAATTTGCCTTAGCACTCCTAACAAGACTTTCCCTGGATGAGCTGGTCATCCAGATGCAGGTACATATGATTTAGGTGTGTAATTTCAACCATTAAGAATATACTAAGACTTTTATTACCACAAGGACTCTCAAGAATCATTACTGGTAATGGTTCAAACCCACTATTTTATTTCTTGAGAGCCAGGCATACTCCTAAAAGGCAATAGTCAATTGAGACAAGAAAGGTCTGAATTGAAAGATACACAAGTAGAAATTAAACACTGGGCCTCCTCTTATCTAGGTTATGATGAAGACTAGTCTTTCTTCTTTGAAATGCAAATGTCTGTTGAGGTTCTTTGAAATGAAAATGTCCTCTATTCTTCGAGAACATCTTTGATGCCCTATAAGAGTATATTTTCTCACCAGACTCTTATGAAAAAATTTCCTGAAGTACAGAGAAAGAAGTAGGCACCATACAAACAAAGCGGTTAAGGCAACCAAAGGCAATAAGCCAACACATACTGATGAGACAGACTAACCAGGAAAACAGTACAAGGCAGAATTCAAAGATTTGACAAGACTCAGTCTGGTGCAGTCCTTAGTCATACTGTCTGAGATTAGAGCAAGTAAATAAAGTATTGCTAGAGATGAGAAAACTTGTTACCATTATTTTCAGTACTTTTAGCCCAGGTTTCCATCTGTGTGATACTTTGGCTTCTGCTCTGGACAAAACAAGTTGCAGTAACAGAGAGGAAAGGCAGCATTGCATGGCTTGCTCTCATCACTAATTTCACAGCATCTTCAGTCATCTCTGAGTAGTTCAGAGCTATAGGTAGCAGTTTGTAGTCTATTCTCTGAAGATTTAGGATACTCTGTGATTGTAACTTTGATACTTTATGAACAATTACCATCATGCTCACAGTAGTAACTGCAGCACCCAGGCCTGTAAGACCATCCCAGATATTAAACAGCCTTTCTTAATTGTGTTCTTTAATTTGTCCTTGTTGCCATGAGTGAACTCAGCAGTCAAGATCCATGTTACCAGAAAATCATCCTTAGTCAACAAGTCCTGTCATT